CCTCGCCCACCTGTGCTGCCTGCCCCTCTCCGGCGTGGGGGCACCGGGGCAGCCAGGCACATGCACAGGGTGGGGTGGGGTGGGGTGGGGTGGGGTGAGGTGGGGAGGAGTGTTCTGGGCCGGCGTGCCAAGGGTGAGGCGGATGTGTCCTTGCCCGCAGCTCCTGTCCCTTTGCAGGCTTTACCTTCCCGGGTGCAGCTGGACGCCAGGTTGGGCCTGCTGCCCCGGAGTAGGGGAGCGCTCTGCCCCAGCCATGGGGACAGGTTGCCCTGCGGTCACAGCCGCATCTGTCGCAGGCAGTGCTGGGCGGCGATGCCCTCCGAGATATGGAGGCTGACAGGTGAACCGAGAGGTGGCTGGCAGCTGGGCTGGCCACAGACCACGTGCTATAGTCCCAGCCACCCCGCTGCATGGGCCTGCCTGCAACGAGGGGGAAGGGGCAGTCTGGCATGGACACTCACTGTAGTCGGTCTCCTTCTCCGGGAGTAGCTGCAAAGGAAAGAGAAATATAACAGTATATAACAGCATGTTCTCCTATGGGGATTGTCTCCTACTTGCCCCCTCTCCTGCTCTGCTCCATGTGTCATGGGGCTTTTAAGCCTCCCCCAGAGGTGCTGGGTGCCGGCTGCAGCTCAGGCTGAGGATGGGGACTGGGCTGTGCCCATGCTCCTGCTGGCACCAACCCCCCAGGGTCCTGGCTGGAGGGTCTTGCCCCCACGCTCAACCTCAGCCCCACACCGCACTGGGGCAGGAAGGGATTTCCCCCCTGCTCAGACTGGTCTGCACCGGGGAGTTTTGCCTTCCTCTGCAGCTGGGGCTCGGCCTCGGCCTGGGCTCTTTGCAGCGCCCCTGATCCCCCTGGCAGCAGCAGGACGTTGGCTGCGGCCCCCCTGTATCCCGGGGGCAGGGGTGATACCTGGGGCTGTGTCAGGGTGACTGGTGTGGCACACGGGGTCTGTCTAAGGGGTTGGGGGTTGGACGGGGCTGATCGTGCCTCATGCAGGGTTTGGGTGAGATGTGTCCCCTGCAATCCCTGCCAGCCCCGCTTCCCCAGGGCACCCCCAGCCCTGCCTCTCCCTGCCCCCCATCACGTCCCCTCTAACAGCTGTGCAGGGCCGGGCGCTGCTGGCCAGAGCCGCGTCCTTTTATCTGCGTTTTGGGCCGAGCTCCCGAGTCACGCGGCTCCCCAGAATAGCGCAGGCTGCGCCCCGACACTTCTGGGCAAGCGGAGACCTGACACCCCCGTGCCTCCCCACCCGCGGTCAGAGCCCCAGCGCCCAGCCCAGGGGCGAGTTGGGCCGGCGCCGGCCCCCCGTCACCCGGTGTCGGCGGCAGTCCTGAGGGTGCCGCGCTCCCCTGCCCCGGTGCCATGGGCAGCTGCGGGCAGACCGGGGGCCGGCAGCCGGCCCGGTGGTA